AAAAAAAACAAATAAATAAATAAATACAACAAGCATGCACTTTCTTTCATTATATCAAACGTTTGATACTTCTAATCCATACATATCTGCTCAACTAGAATATTTGGTTCTCTTTATTCTGTTTGATCTGACTATTTCAATATTAATGGAGGTGCTTTTTTCTCTTTTTTTTTTTAATTGGAGGGGGTTGATATCAAGGTGTATATATCAGGCTAACTAAAACCATATAAGAAATATACCAATACATACGCGGACCCTTAAATTTGTCAGACTTTTTCGTCAGACTAGTATCTATTGAATATCTAAACTCCTTCAAAATATACCAACTAAAAACATATTTTTGAGACAGACAAAACATAAAATGCAAGAATTATAGCTAAGTGCAAAGTTCCAACAAGACTTTAGACTATTTTATTGTAGTTTCAATTATTTTTCAATTATAAGAAGTTTCTCCTGATCCTTCCCTCGTGTGATTAGAAGGATTTTCTGTTGGAATATTTGATACTCTTATCTTCATAATCTGATATTTTATTGCAAAAATGTGTGTATGTGAACTGTTTTGTCCCCTCTCTACCACTCTCATGACTAGTATAAGGTGCATGCATTGCCAGTGGGGTGGGACACATGGTATATTGGCCTTTTATGATTGAAGTTTGATTATATATGGCTTTAAACTCATGATTTTCAATTAATTAAAAAGATATTGAAAGATTAACCATCATTTCATAATGTCCCTTATAAAGACGTGCATTACCAAATTCTGATAATTATTGATGGGTTTGAGAGTTGAGATAGATATATATGTTCCGTACTATTAATAATAGAAGTCAATTAGGGGTGGTGTAATTAAAAAATCTGAGGTCTTACTTAGCATGCTTTAGGAAAGTGGTACTTATCGGTAGGGGTGTACATAGGTCGGGTTGGTACGGATTTAATGATTACCAAACCAAACCAATTGTGTCAGGTTATTAAATCTAAATACCAAATCATACCAATAAAACTCGGATTTTTCAATCTCGGTTTTTCTCGGGTTTTCGGGTTATTCCGGTTTTTCGGACTTTTTTCGGTAAAATATTCGTAGAACAAAACATATAACTTATGCTCAAAATATTTCTTTAATCCTAGTAAGATACAACTATATAAAGTATTTTCCAAGAAAATAATACAAAATATGAGATGTGTCATGGCATTATCCTAAAATATTAACAATAAAGATAATACAATTATGTAATATAAATATTGCTAATAAAAAAATCATAATAAAAATAATAATCTAAAAGTACTAAGTCATGCTAAAGTAAGTAGACTAATAAGGGAGTATTAATTACATGACTAAACTTTAAAGACAAGATAAAAATAGGTTATGCATTTAAATCTAAATTATTGCAAAACAAAAAATAGATATTCAATGCATTCCCGTTCATAATCTTGAGTATTGAATTGAATGTATTTTGTTAGCATTAATATTGATTTGATTTTGGTTTGGGCTTTTGTTAGCATTATTTAATTTACTAATATTAATGGCTATAAAACTTATTGGAACAGTCAAAAGTTCTAAGTCCAACCTTAAAATAATACCTTAAAAGATAAAATTATGAAAAAAAAATTAAGAAATATTTATAAATTACATCAAAATAAATATATTTATATATTAAATATATCTAAAAAAAAAAAAATATATATATATATATATATATATATGATGTCGGGTTGGTTTGGTGTCGGTTTGACTTTCTTTAGTTAAAACCAAACCAAACCAAACCAATTATGGTCGGGTTTTTTTCCATCACCAAACCAAATCAAACCAAACCATACTCGAGTTTTTTTTCTCGATTTGACTCGGATTATCGGGTTGGTGCGGTTTGTCGGTTTCCTTTGTACACCCCTACTTATCGGATAGTTCTTGATTAAGGACGACCAACTTAATTATGATTTATGAAACGTAATGAGTAATTAATTGAGATAATATATAATTAATCCATTAGGATTGTCCCACTTTATCAGTCGCACCCTCATACTAATCCCTTGTATTTGTTAGGAACATAATAAGTACCACCTTTTCCGGCCAATCCAAGTTTCAAAAAAGAAGTGCAAATCACACACCAATCTTTACTTGCGACGTGTCAAATTAATTTACTTTTTATTTATTCTATTGAATTACCTTTTTATTTGCCATTTTAATATTATTTTACTCTTTTTCTTCACCATTTTCTCCCCTTATACCCGTAACATCCACCGTCACTGCTCCTCCTCGTCGACCACCCTTCATTACCCATCGTAAAATTCTTTTAAATCGAAAGGTTGCCCGGAAATAATAACAAGATAAAATTTGTGAGGATCTTTTGAATAGCATAAAAATAATCTTCTAAATTTGTGGGGAATGAGACAATGAACGGTGGAGATAATTTAGCAAAAAGATGGCATCACCGGAATCACCATTTTTCCCGGTGAGAACATTGTAAGCAAAAAAACCGGAAAAAGAAAGAAGAAACAATAGAAAGAAAAATAGAAGCAAAATAAAAAAGAGAAAAGATAATTATAAAATAAAATTTGCTTCTCGCCGGAAGCATCAACTTTTCCGGCAAGTAATAGCAAGGAAGACAAACGTGAAAAAAAAAAAAACCAGAATGCATTAATTGAAAAAGGATAGAAAAGCAAAAAAGAAAAAGAAAAGTGCAGAAGCTAGCTGGGGGTGTAAAAATGATAAATGGAGTAATCAGGAAGAGGTAAACAAGAAAGAAGATAAAAGAAAGAAAAAGAAATGAAAAAAAAATGAAATTTTAGAGTTTTCGTCATATTACAATTTTAGAGTGTACTCTCTCCTTCTCCATCTTCTGGAAAGCACTTTGGACAAGCTGACAGAATGATTGACACTCACAACTCTTTCGGTGATTTCGTTACAGTTTACTAGCACATTTCTAGACTAAGACTAAGGCATTGGAGCTTCTAGAATGCCATTCATTTCGCAATAAGAAACTTTTCCACATATAGGTTTCAGCTACTTAAAGCGAGAGTGCATCCAAAAATTCGAAAAGAGTGCTCGACCTTGGTTGAAACAATTATAGGTGTCAATGGACCGATTTCACTAGCAGAGCACTTTCTCGAATGTGCGCAAACAGAGATACCACTTTCAATGATGGACACCGGCCCTTGTATTAAAGTAGCATCGAGTTTCGCTTGGAAACCAGCAAGTTTCTAGGGGTTATAGGACGCTCGCAAAATATGGGGGTGCAACTGGTAAAGCGTGACAACTCCAACGGGGTAATTATATAGTATCCATAATTAATTCTGAGTGTATACTTGTTTTCCCCAAAACTCAATGTCAGTTAGTTAGCATGATTAGTTGTGTTCGTTAGTCCATCTGTTCCCTTTTGCTTTGATAATATGTGTAGAATATAAGGTTGAAAAAGCTTACATGCACATTCACTTATATGACTCTAGGAGAAACATTAGGACGTGAAATATTCTTTTTACATAAATTTCTATTACTTAATCATGGTTAGTTAATTTATATTTTGCACTTTGTGATAAATAGAGATCTAAGAAACCAAAGTTTTCATAATGAGTATTTACTCTTCGACTGTTGGAATAAAACACCTTAAAACTCGTAGGAACGATTAATGATCTATGGAGAAAAAAAATGATGTCCTTTTTACTTCTAATATCTAAATACGATTTTCAGTATTCATTTTGTAGAAATAGGAGTATTCTAACTTAGCTACATGCCTAAATATAATTCTAATTTCCAAGTATTCATTTAATTGTATTAGGAGTAATCTCACTTTTGTACCGTTCTTTAGATACATTTCGGGAGTTTGAATACCATACCATTTCAACAGAAAATACAATCTTGTGAAAGATATTTATCTTCTTTTTTATAATCATAGTGTCAGATGGACCTCAACTAATTCCACAAAATATTTTATTACATATGAGAAAATATCACCTAATATTGCTGAAATTTGGACCTGAAATCTCATAGTTCATATTTCAATTTTCGGGTCTCATTTCATTTGTATAAACATGTTCTTGTTTCAGTAAGATTTGTATCCCCTTCCTGTTTCATCTCTTACCTTTACCTGTTTATAGTAAAGTTTGCACAATCAACCGGAATATACTACACGTTTTCTTAGTTTAGACAAAGGAAATTATTCCTGCATCGAACATAGTAAAATCCAAGAAGAATATTCAAAATTCTAGTATTTCAATCTGAAACCAGAAAACAAGAAGGTGTCTGTACTACCTAGTAGACAATTTAGTACAGCAAGAAATAAAAGGCATTTAGTCTTTTGGTTCGGATTTTAGGCCCTTTTTACGGTGCACCTTATAGTTTTTCTGCCAAACTAGGTATTTTATGTGTATATTTTAAAAAATTAGTCTAATATTATCTATTGGTCTCTATGATCCAACAAGATCCAACAAGTGCACCTGGTTAAATGCCGAGTTATTTATTTAAAGAAACAAGGAACGGTTCTCACTTGATACTCTTTTCTCGCTTTTATAGTGGTGCATCTATAGTGGTGCATCTATGTTCAAGAAATACTAGATCCACCTCTGGTCAACAGGGGCTTCTGATAGTATAGAAGAATATGAAAAGTACAAACATGCTTCAGACAAAGCTAGTTTCTAGTACCATAATTTGATGGTTTCCTATTACTGTTTCTGCAGATAACATTTTCAGTTTGGAATGTTGGAAGTTAGAATCTACTAGAGTCATTTATGGTACATAGTTTGAAAGCTATAGACAATTTATCCGGCAAAGCTCAGAAACTGGAATCTACACAGAAACTGCATGTGCACTGTAGTTAAAAGGAAGAGTTGAATAATTAAGCATATCGCACCCAATAGTGTGTGAAAATCGTGAGAGGCTGGAGTACAAATCCTAGCGAAGGCGGAATAAAAAAACATTTCAGGCCGAACACAAATAAATTCTGCTGGCTACATTGTCTCCAAGAAATCTAAAAAGACTGCACTTACAATTACTTGTGCCAAAACAAGAATTGAACAAATTTTTCGATCTTGATCAAGGCATCATTAAGACCCAAGAATGCTTTCAAAAAATAAAAAGTTAAACAAAATCATACATATATGAATTTAGTATTGTGATGATCAAATTGCAACTAAAATAACTAATTTCATCATCTAATACACAACAATGCCGATATTAATCCAACTCTAAGTTGAGATTCAAAGAAGACAGTTTTTCATTTGGCACACACTTTTCTGAAGTGCGCGGCTTCACCTATGAAGCAATAACCCCCCTCTGCTTCACATGCATTCGTCAACTTAAACGACGACACTGGGCCCAACTAGTGTCAAAAATTCCATTTACATCTAAGACCTCTTTTCTGTATTTTCTACAACAAATAGCTCAACCCAATACATATAAACGGATTGAATTTCACCAAGTTACCTTCTAATTACATTGCAGGGGCATTTGTATCATCGTCACTGTCACTGTCACTGTCAACCTCATACAAAGGACCATCGTCATGATCACTATCGTTTAACCCTTCGTTATTCCTGGTACCATATGACACTGCATTAAGATTTCTGTGGGAATTCCAATCAGGAGGGAAGGTCTTCTGAAGGGCTTCTGTTATATCACCTCCGGTTCTCTCAATCTTCCGCAAGCATCTGGACCAATGAACTGCAGTTCCCATATCAACAGTCAAACCAGATTCCACCATCTCTTCACATACACGGTGGATCCCCATTATTATGTAATCTTCAGCAACTGTGGCTCTTGACAACAGTGATGTCATTAAACAATGATATACAGCTTTGTCTGGCTTCAAACCAGATTTCTTCATCTCTTCAAAGCATTTTAAAGCCTTTTCTGGAAGCGAAGCCCGTGCCCAACCGTGTATGAGAGTGGTATAGGTTTTAACATTGGGTTTAACCCCAACCCTTTTCATCTCTTGAATTGTGTTCGTTGCTTTCTGAAACAAAACAAATATTGATTGTAGTCTTTTGACTATTTGAGGAAATAAAAATAAACATTTTTTGGGGCTATGAAAAGCTACCATTAGGCAGAGCATATGATATGACTCAAAGAAACTAAAATCAAATTCCAAGTAGTGTCTGATGCAAATATATGGAGCACGGTAAGCATTATTAGGACCACGGAGTTGGTAACATAATGCTACATAACTCGTACATATTTCAGATAGTACTCAATATGTTCCAGAGAAGCATAATGCACATAGTAGACATTAGTAGAAGTTAGTTGTCATTAAATTCTAAAAGCGAACAACCTCAATTGTATAGAACAGTACACAAAGCAACATATGAGATCAACATATCCATTTTCAGGCATTTTAGCAAAGCTGAATTAGCAGTATAAATGCAGCCAATGTTGTATATATCATCACATAGATACCTGCATGTCTCCAGCTTTACAACAAGCATTTACGAAAGAAGTATAGGTATGGATGTCAGGTTGAACCCCCTCTTGCCTCATTTGTTGCATCAAATCAGCAGCCTCCCAAACATCACCTCTTCGAGCCCATCTGCACAGAGTAGGAAAATAGAGCAAATATGACGGGATACAGTCCAAAAGTATACCCATACAGAGGTAAAATACCATCAAATAGAAGAGGGTATATCCGTTAAAGGCAATGTGCTAATCAGCATTTATCCCCCCCCCCCCCCTCCCCCCAAAAAAAAACAAAATAGTTGGCAACCACCGACCCAATATGAAGAGGCCATACCCGTCAATTAATATGTTGTACACAAAGGTATTCCTGGGAATGTTTTTGGCATTCATTTCTTTTGTCACTGCCAAAGCACTTTGCATCCTGCCTGATTTACAACATGCCTTGAGCAATGCCTCATATGTATATACGTCAAGCTCCAGACCCTCATCTTTAATTCTTGAAAAATATTCAAAAGCTTTTCCTGTATCACCAAGAGATGCATAACCATCCATAATGGTTGTATATGTACGCTCATTTGGCCTAATTCCTGCAAGCAACATCTCATCTACAACTTCCACAGCTTTGTCCATCTGCATCAAGTTAAATATAAAGCAAACAAATCAAAAGGGTTCTACACAGTGGCGTATGCAGGATTTTTCGTAAGTGGTGTTACACTTTAAAAGTGAACAAATAAACAAATACTACTAATAACATCATATAAAAAAAGAACACAACTCGAATCTTATATTAAAACACAACTCAATCATATTACTACAAATCTTTTCGATGAGTTTCGTTTTTTGAAAGGTATTCAAAAGTAACCTCATTAGAAAAAATAATAAATACTATTTTTCTATATAAAGTACCTAATAATCACTAAAAGTTCATCATTTATTTGATTTGACAAATCGTTCTTAATCAATTTCATTGGCAAGCAAGAAGATGAAAGGAAAAAGAAAAAGAATAGCACAACAACTGATCATGGAAGCAGCAGCTAGCATCCTTTCAATTACTGTAAAAAATTATTGTCACTAGAGTTCACAGAAGTGACTCCTGATCGACTGGCTAAAAGTTTTATTAGCTTCTAAGAGATCAACGGTTCGACCCCTGTTCAACACAATGTAATCTTTTTTTTGTAAATGAGGCACAAAAGTTTTGAAATAATAAATGAAGCTTCCAAGCTTCGAACCCACGACTTATACTGGAAGACTGAGGCGCCTGACCGAAAGAGCTACTCAATTTTTTGTGGCAAGTGGTGTCACTTTATTTTATTTATCCTCAAATTTGTTTCTTCCTTTTAATTAAATATACATATTTAGTAAAAATTTCCGACCAAGCGGTGTCATGTGCCACCATTTGGCCTAAGGCACATCTGCCCCTGGTTCTATGGAAAGAACTTCAATAGGCCTGAAAATTTTCAAACACAGAAAGAAAGAGGAACAAAGAGGATGTATGTGAAATAAAGGGTGATCCTATTAATCCTTCTAAAATTACATTTAACATTGTAAGCCATCCAGCAATTCACAAGCGCATTGTTTTATATTATTAATAAGAGACAACGGAAGATTTTGTCGTCCTCATATTCAACTTTCTAAAACTATTGCCCTCAAAGTTGTCATTTTTTACTTCATCAATTTTGTGGTTATTGAGTTAATGATACTACTTTTAAGTCCTATTTTGTAATTCTATGGGTTTCTTATAGGAAATAGTACACTTATCTTTCTATTATCTCTTCTCACCCTACATTAACCTTTTATTACAGTAGATGCCCTTAGATATTTCGTAAATAAAATGAACTTTTGGGGCTTTCTTAACTCTTCAAATGGAGTCATGGTTGCATCTTAACCAAAATGTTTGGTTCTATAATTAAAATTGTTGAAATACTATTAGCTTATATGTACCTTTTACCTTTACAAATTAAAGAAAAAAAAAAAACATGTAAGCATCCAAACTCCTATTCATCAGTCTTCATAATTTTATCGCTACATTAGCATAAGCACATCCTTTAAAAGCGAAAAAGTTCTAATATTTACAAGAGGAGTAAAGCATATTAAGTTTAATATTTTTAAACTATTTTGGTGTGTGAGCATTTATAGTTTTATTTTTCGGTTAAGAAGATTGTAGGAACTTAAGTAATGTTATTCCTAGGGGTATCAACAAAGATGTGTCTCCTTGGTCTTCTTTGCCTAATTTCAATTTGATTTTGGTTTTGTTTCTTTTAAATTTATTCTTAAAGAAAAAAATTCTTGGTTAGGTTTTTTGGTCTTTTAAATAGTTTTTTGATTTTGTGTAGAATATTTTGGTCAGGTTTTTTTTTCAAAACATAACTTTGTGCTCTCTTTTTTTTTTTTTGGGTTTTAAAGATCATTCCGATTTAATTTTTAGAAATCAAAATTGAACTTTTCAAATAAAAATGAACTTTAAATTTGAAAGGCTTTAATATATATATATATATAT